TGTACTAGTCAGTGGGGGTGGCAGACACTGTTAAATGAGCATGTGTACTGTGTGACCATCACATTAAAAATAACTGAGTGAGTACAGCAATGAATCTGCATCAAATTTTGCATTAAGCTTGAACATTTCCCCACAGAAACTGTTTGGATGATTCAGAAGGCTTTCAAGGACAATGACATGAGTGCAGCACAAATAAAAGTGTGGCACAAATGCTTCAAAGATGGTCAAGCATCTGTTGAAAATGATCCATGTTCTGGAAGGCCTCAACAAGCAGAACACCTGAGAATGTTGAATGTGTATGGGCTGCAATCGACAAAGACTGACCACTGACAGTGCAAGAACTGGAAGCTGATCTAGTGGTTCCAAAAACTATCGTGTCCAAAATTTTGACAAGGGATCTTAGCATGAAATGTGTCATGGCAAAATTTGTTCTCTGGCTTGTGCTACCAGAGCAGAAGGAACATTGTGCTGCAGTTGCTAATGACTTGATTTAAACTGCTATCAATGAACCATATTTCCTCAAGAAGGTCTTAACCAGAGATAAAGAGTAGTCTATAGCTATGACCAGGACATAAAGGCCCAGTTGTCCCAATGGAAGTTGCCTAGTTTTCCATGCCCAAAGAAAGGATGGCAAAGTTGCAGCAAGATCAAGACCATGTTAAGTGTGTTTTTTGTTTGGGAAGGTGTCCATGATAAATACACCCCTCCAGGCCAAGCAATTAATAAGGAGTACTACCTCAGTGTTCTTCTTCAGCTGAGAGATGCAATACAAGGAAAAATGCCACAACTATGGGCAACTGATAATTGGCAGCTTCATCATAGCAATGCTCCTGCTCATGCATCATGTCTCATGCAGAGTTTTTTGGTGAAATATCAAACTACCCAGGTAACTCAGCCCCCCTACAGCCCAAATTTGGTGCCCTGTAACTTCTAGCTTTTCGCAAAACTTAAAGTGCCTTTGAAAGGGAAGAGATTTCAGACTATAGATGAGATTCAGCAAAATACAACAGGGCAGCTTATGGCAATTCCAACAAAGGATTTTCCATAGTGTTTTGAAAAGTGGAGAAGACACTGGGAGAACTGTATGAGGTTCCAAGATGCCTACTCTGAAGGAGACTGAGGCATCATTATTCTATGTGCAATGTTGCTTGTTTCTTGTATCTTCTTTAATAAATGTCTCTATTTTTCATAGTACATGGCTGGGTACTTTCTGGACAGGCTTCATGTATATACCATGGTATATTTCCATATACCATACTCTGAGACTCTTTGGATAGAAAAACAATGGTTATTCTGTTCATGGCAATGACAGGATGTGTACTATTCAAGGGCCTACATAGGTCATGAACACTATATCATGTTGTTCAAAATTAGACACAGGACCAATTCCAAAGTCAAGGAGCATAAAAATATACTTCTTTCACCATGAGGCCATGAGAAGGTTGATGAAGTATAATGTACCATAATGGCATGAAGAATAGAGACTACAAATCTAATCTACTATAGTACTTGACAATATGTTTGCTGTTGAATTTTGTTGAATGAATGCATATGAATGATTAAATTTCAAAATTACAGGTGATTCAACAAGAATATAATGTAATAAGTTTGGAAAGATCAGGGCAAAGTGCTAATTTAAGCAATAAATTCTGCTACTATCTGAGGCTGTTCACTGGCTAGTAACATAGAAGCTAAATGACATGACCCAGTCATGCCCAATGGCACCACGAGGCCCCCAAAACTGGCATCTGTAGTGATTCATTCCTTAGTCTAGACCTAAGCTAAGGTATAAAAGCACTTTTTGCATATCCTGAGAGCAACATTTATAAGGGAGAAAAAGAAAGAAGTAATTTCTCTTTCCTGTATAAATCCCTGACACAGAATATAGGAGTGATACCTTTCTATTATCATTGTTTTCTTTAGTTTCCCGAGAGACTTCCTTTCCCCCTAACACCCCCCTCACCCCAAGAAAAATTCTCACTGGGATTAGTAAGCAAGAAATAATTCTTCTCTTTACTAAAGAAAACCTGATACCTATCTTAAACAAACCCGTAATTCTTTTCATTCTCAAATGGTTGTGAAGATTGCAGGTCAGTAAACAAACTGAGTTTGGATGGACGGAAAACCTCAGATAAAGGAGAGCATGTTAATAAGGCAAAATGGTCATTTAACACTTTAATATTTTACATGTTTCTAGAAATACCAGGGGAACTTCGGAAGCAAAGAGTCGTATCACAGACATGTGAGGGTTAAAGTCTTATGTGAGCTTTTCAGAAAGCCAGTGTTCCAAGAGAAAGAGAGCAGAAGGAGCAAAGAGATTTGAGAATTCAGGCAGAGTTAATCAGGAGGGACCAGGCCAGGAAATCAGCTACCAGAGGAATCTGGATCAAAGGCAGAGGAGCAGAGCGAAGGCAGAATACAAAGCTCCCGACGCGCTCCCAGGCATTCTGCGGAGCTGGTGTGGGGAGGCAGGTGACAGAGCAGGAGCAGCTTCCTTGGGCCAGAAGCCAAAGGAGGGTCATTTAGGGAAAAAAAACCTGTTTTTCCAGAGAATAAAAGGAGGCCAGAGGCCTTGACTCAGCCTGTGCAGTGAGGTTTCTGAGTGTCTGTAGTTCAGAGAAGAGACAGACCACAGGGAAGGCTAGGATGCGGTGTGCCCAATTTAAAACCTGTGTCAGTCTGAGTGACCAGAGACAAGCTGGCAATTTGTTTTTCTTCATGTTTTTTTAATTGTTCAAGTACAGTTTTCTACCTTTTCCTCCCACCCCAGTCCAACCCCCCAGCCCTCCCCACCTCCCTCCCACCTCCCCGCCATGTGTTATTGTCTGTGTGTCCTCTATAATTGCTCCTGCAAACCCTTTACCCTTTTCCCCTGAAATTCCCTCCCCTCTCCCTTCTGGTCACCATCACCATGCTCTCAATTTCAGTGTCTTTGTTTGTATTTTGTTTGCTTGTTTTGTTGATTAGGTTCCTGTTAAAGGTGAAATCATATGGTATTTGTCTTTCACAGCCTGGCTTATTTCACTTAGCATAATGCTTTTCAGTTCTATCCATGCTGTCACAAAGGGTAAAAGCTCCTTCATTCTTTCTGCTGCATAGAATGCCATTGTGTAAATGTACTATAGCTTTTTGATTCATTCATTTACTGGTGGGCACCTAGGTTGCTTCAAACAACAAGTGTTGGAGAGGTTGTGGAGAAAAGGTAACTCTAGTGCACTGTTGGTGGGAATGCAGACTGATGCAGCCACTGTGGAACAGTATGGAATTTCCTCAGAAAACTAAAACTGGATCTGCCTTTTGACCCAGAAATTCCACTGCTAGGATTATACCCTAAGAACCCTGAAACACCAATCCAAAAGAGCCTATGCACCCAAATGTTCATAGCAGCATGATTTACAATAACCAAGTGATTACTGGCGATTTTTTTTCTTCCCTGAGTATGTCATTTGTATGTCAATATACACTGATACTCTTCAAAGTCATGACAAAATGGAAAATGTAAATCCAGCAAAGAAAAAAGTGAGGGAAGATAATAGGCACCCCAAACATAAGTTTCCTTCTCTTTCTTCCTACCTTCTTTCTTCCTTTCTCATTTGGTAATTTAAAAAAAATAGCCATAGTACTACTTTACTTTCCCTTATGACTTTGTGAAAAGTAATTTATAAATTATTGCAAAGCACTTAGAAAGGGTAAAGCACTTAATAACATTCCAAACCAGGCCAGGCACGGTAAATTTGCTCAGTGTTGTGGGAAATTTCTTCAGGTTTTCAAGTCCCAGTGAGAATGTGAAAGCCCGGTGCTTTTCCCTTTATATGAACTTTAAGTTAGCATGTGCATAAATAAGTAAAGTAAGACTATTTGACTTTTTCCAGACAGAGGAATAGGAATTTCACCTACCTACATTTTATACCCTTATTTCACATCTCTCTCAGCTTCTATTTTTAAGTGTTTACTCTCAGTGGGAAAATAAAAACAAAAACAATAAAAAGTAAAAGGCAAAATTGCCTAAACAAACCTGTATATTAAATCTACTTATCTTTACTTGTATTAATTTGTCCCAACAAACAAAAACAAGAAGGCAGGAAGAATGGGTAAGGATCAAATAATTAGTATCCACATTCCTAGTGCTGTTTCATGCACTGTGGAGCTGAATCAAGAGTAGAGCAAGACTCGTGTCTTCACAGAGCTTACAGCTCAGTGGTAAAGACAATAAACGTGTGTGATAAAATAAAAAAATACAAGAACATATGGTTTGCACTGACGTGTGTGTGTGTAACATAAGACAGTTATACATATAATTGTCAGTTATAGTAGCATAGAATAAAAGGCAAGGGACTCTTATATCAGAAAATTCTTTCCAAATCCATTTCAACCACAATATTTGAAACACAAATAGCCTAGATTATAGAGATAGGGTTATGCGTGTTAGGTAACAATTTAAGTGGGAATGCCATGGCAAAACAAAAATTGATGAGATGTCATAAATGACTCAGTTATCTCTCATGGTGACCAGGTTTCATGTTTATGAGGTTTTTCCACATCAATATTGCAGAAGATCTAAAGAAAATTTTTTATTTGCTTTGCCAGATTTCATAAAATGCCAGTTGAGAAACTGTGTTGACTTAAAGAAATTTAAAGTAGGCATTCCTCCTTACCTAAAATTTGTCAACTGCCCCAATATATGGAGACATACAGTCAATAGTAAATCTTAGAAATGAAGCTTAAAATAATTTTGAGTCCAGTCTTCTGCCTTTCCAGCCTGTATTGCCTCATTCATTGGCCCCGCCCCACCTGCTTTCTCTGGCGCACACAAATGCCATCTTCCATAAGCGTCCTCCAGACTTGCACATCTTTCTGTCTGTTCCTTGCCTTTTTGCTTATGCAAGTCTTAGACCTGGAACGCTCTCTCCTCCCGGCCACAACTGAATCCCACAAGGTGTTCTTCAAGGACCAGCCCCAATAACAATTCTCTATAAATCCCTTTCTGATACCTTCTTATCACCTGTTCTCCTGGACAGAAGCACACATGTCATCCTCTGGGGTCCTCCAGAACTTTGAACATATTTATATTGTTACTTTCCAGATTGTTGTAGTCCTATACAATTAGTTATGTCCACAGTTGTGCCTACTAGGCTTGAATTCTTTGAGGACAGGCATCTAGTATTTCCAGACTTATGTTTCCAAGCATAGTATGGTGGCAATGAGCTGGAATTTAATAAACAGTAAAGGACTGAAAAGTAAAGAATGTATTTTAAAATGAGGGATCATAGTCTAGACAAGAAAAAAGAGAGACAGGTCATCTCAGATTAGTATTTGTACCAGTTTGGAAATTTACTTTCTATTTTAATCATTCTTTTTGAAACTTTAAGTACAAAAAAAAATTTTTAAAATATTTCTAGGTCATAAAAGTGGCAGAATGGCTGTGACTGCTCTGATGTTTTCTACAAGAGATTTTGTAGGAATATACCTGTAACAATATGGAAGAAAAGACATGGGAAGATGATTTTCCATTAAGTGCATGATAAAATATAAATGTGTATAATAAATATCAATGAATATTTACACATGGAAAAATAAAAGCACAAAACCAATTTCAACCAAAATTTGCTTCACCATTTAAACTACAAATTAGTTTTCATTTACTCAGGAGCCATCTGGATTATTTATTCCCTAGATCTTTGGCTTCTTCTCTTATGCCTCCTGCTGCTCGGATTTTGATGATTTCACTGTTTCTTATGTATCAGAGTATGTGATGCTAGAAAAATATTGACATTTGAAATTTATAAATGATGACTTTTACTTTTTTCCCCAAAGTTATTTTATCTGAACAAATATTTGGGAATTTAAACTTATTGATTAAATGTGATGTCCATGGTTTCATCAACTCTTGGCAATAATTAGTTATAATTTAAATAATATTTAAGAGCTATTTAGTTCTGGAATTTTAAAGTTGAGCATTTTATATTTCATATTGAATGTAGACTCAGGTATACTGAATAATGTCTCTCTTGTTTTTATTTTTAAGTATTAGAAATATTTCAAATTTATTGAAATACCCCGTTGGTCTGGTGGGATACTTTGTTCCTAGTAGCAGTAACCTTGGAGGGTTCACCATGGTTCTGGCAAACTTCTAGGATCATATACAATGATTACACATCAGGATTTTATAGGCAGTCTTCTAATCTTATATCTGTTTATCATGCTGACATCCATTTTCCCTGCTGACACGGGCCATTGAGATCCAGCTTCTACAGCTTCTGTGCCATGCTTGGGGAACAGGAATCTTAATAGAGACTAGAGAACCCCAACCACCGGAAACTATTTCCCCATGGGCCTTGCTGTCTACCAGGATGCAGCCAGGAAGCCCCCCAGGCCCTAACTGGTCCTGGCCCACAGATCTCTCTTGTCCACTTCTCCCAACACAGGAATCCTTTTTGAATTTGACAGAATTCTTTCTAAGTATCTCACAGACATTACCTCTACCCATAACTCCCTTTCCCTCCAGAGCCTTAGTTTTGGAAATAAAAGCCAAGAATTGTTTTGCAGAAAGCTGCTTTGGTGCTCTCTGCTCTGCCACATTCCTCACTGTAATGAGCAGTGTCTCACCTATTTGGATTAGGAAAAAAAAGATGAAAATAGAGGAAAAACTTGTATCTCAAGTCACTATCCAACTACAATAAATAAATGAGTTGCTAAATGGAAAAATAAACTTACCTGGTTCTCAGAATCACTAATCATCAATTGCAGACTCCACCATAACCTGTATTTCCCTGAAAATGCAACAATTAGACTTTTGTTAAAAATTAAGAAATCAAGAAACTGAAATGGTATCAATTTCATTACTTACATTTTTTAAAAATACAAGCAATGATTTGTGAAATTATATAATTATTATATAAATATATTTTTTAATTAATATTTCCACCAATAGTTAATTGGAAAGTTCTTGCTTTGCAAGACTTTATATTACTTTTCACTCCCTAAGGTGACATATATCTCTCATGTAGGCATGTTTTAGGCCAAAAGTATGATTCTTGCCTTGGCAAATAAAGAGTTATGAACCCAATGATTAATTTTTCATTAAAATTGCTCCCCCTTGTCAGCCACATCAGGCTTTGAAGGAAGTTTATTTTTCTTAATTTTATTAGGGTTACATTGGTTAATAAGATCATATAAGTTTCAAGTGCACAATTCTATAATAAATCATCTATATGTTGCATTTTGCGTTCAGCATCCAAAGTTGTCTTCTTCCATCACCATATTTGACCCCTTTTATCCTCTTCTACCTCATCTTCTATCCCCCATCACTCTTCTGGTTATCTACCTGAATAATTTGAAAACATTCATGCATAAAGATACATGTACCCTTAGTTCAGTGTAGTGTTATTTACAGTGGCCAGGCATGGAAACAATGAAAATTTCCTTCAGTAGATGACTGGATAAAGAAGATGTGGTACATATATACTACTCAGCCATAAAATAAATGAAATACTGCCATCTGTGATAACATGGATGGATCTTGAGAGCATCATGCTATGGGGAATAAGTCCGATGTATTAAAAAAACAGGAACCAAATGACTTCACTCATGTGGGATATAGAACATAAAGTTATTTTTTAAAGAAACATAACACATCAGAATTTTGATACCTAAAAGAAAGATTATAATGAAAGTATCTGCCTTAAGATGAACTCAGAGAAGCAGAAAATTTCTCATCATTTTATAGGTAAAAAAAATAAGCATGGAGAAGGTCAAATAATACATTTTTGAACCATATAACTATTTGATGGGAGAAGAGGGAAAAATCTTATTTATTAATATTATTAACATTTTAAGTTTTATAAAACACTTTCATGTGCTGTGTATTTTCCATTTAAACTTCATAATTCTCTAAGTTGTTCCTTATTTTATCCTCATTCCATATGTAAAGAAGCTGAAAGTCAGTGGTTAAAAAAGAAGCTAAAACCCACATAACTAGAAAAGAACAACAAAGGTCTCTAATTTCAAATTCTGTGTTATATACAGTAAACTGCAAGGATTTTTACAAATTATAGATTTTTACTAGATTATGGGAATGTCCATTCAAACAGTACTATATAAAATAAGAATTGACTGGTAGAGATGATACTTCATCTTCTACCACATCTGCCCACACACACATCCTCCTTCATGAGGGCACATGGGATAGATACATGGCGTGCTCACACATGGCCCAGGATTATGTATAACTACCAACTGGTTCTACTCCAACTTTATTTTTTTCTGTTCCCATTAAGAAAATACTCTGAGTTAGCTAAACCACAGGATTAAAGGTAAAGTTTTCTAGATTCCCAGTCTGTCCAAGCCTTCTGACACTGACTGCAAGGAGTTAGGGTTCAGCTGCAAAGTTGGAGGGAAGATTCCGTGCAACCCTCAGCATTGACATCAATGGCAAGTCCAGGGGTTTCACAAATCTTTCAAGTCTGACAATTCACTTGAAAGACCTACAGAACTCACTCACTGAAAACTAGTATTTTCAGTTATGGTTTATTATAGGAAAAGATACAAAGGAGAAAGTTGGGATCCCAAATGAGGAGCTTTCATTGCCCTCTGGTTGTGTTATCCTACTGGCATTGATGCATGATAATATGTAAGGAGTATTGTTGACCTGGAAAGCTCACCCAACCTTCAGTGCCAGAATATTTACTTGTGCACGATTGTTTGATTGATTGCCCATGAAGTGAGCTCTGCCTTCAAACACCCACAAGTCTCCAGGGGTTGGGGTGACATTATTTGACTAAAGGGGCCTACCAAGAGTCACAAGTCACTTTGTTAGCATAGTCTGCTAGATATGATCACAGAGGTCCATTTTAAATAACAAAAACACACCTATCACTCAGAGAGTTCCAAGAATTGAAAGGTTACTTCCTAGGAGTCAGGGACAAGGCCAAAGTCTTGATTACACAAAAAGTATCAGAATGGAATGGGGTACTGACATTATTTGAGGGAGAGCTTTGAATCCTCTCTAATTTATTTCCATAAGTGAAGCAGTCACAAACCCCAGCGTGTAAATATTAATAGTAACAAGTTACATCACACCTCACAGATGATGGCCACCCAGCATATGTGTGTCTCTGCAGCACTGTGAGAGCTACCACTCCAGTTGCTCAGGAGCACGATGTACTCACTTTCCTCTGCAGCCATGATCACACTGAAATCTCTTCATTGAAGGCTTTCTCCACATGACACTCTACATAAGAAAAAACTCTTATTCTTGCATTCTTTAAGATGAGGTTCAATTGTCAACTTCCTTCTGAGGCCCTTCTTAGGCAGATTGTCTTCTATGCATGGGTGATGCAACATTGGCAAAGCACGGGCCTCCTCTGAGAGGCAGTCAGCCCAATTTCCCCTTGCAGGCTGTGAAAATGTGAGGGTAAGTACCATTTCTTACTAATTGTTGTATCTTTGGTCTCTGGTCCAGTGACTATACTCAGCCAATATTAACTTGACCTGTATTAATAAGCAGTCCTAATGTGATCAGCTGTTAAATAACCATATAGATTCTTGAAGTGCAGAGTGACATGAAGAAAATGGAGTTTAGGGAAATTCACCTGACTATGCAAATGAACTAGAGGAAAATGGTCCTAAGGGAAAGTCAACAAACCAGGAGGCTCTTGCAGAATATGGGATAGTAGTCTTGACCAGTGACATTGGGAAGGAAGACTTCTACCTGACCTATACATATTGACCAAGCTAATTTAGTAAATCAGTAAATTCAAGCCAATCATTGGCCAAAGTCTTCCCCCCTCCCCCTGTGTGGGACATAGATTCAGGATGTGGTAGTTCCATTTGACCAAACAATATTCCTGAATAAAGGGATGTCTGTGAGTTGCTATTAGCCAACATTCACAGCAGCTATCAGACTAACCATACCTGGGATTGGAGCAGTGATTGGGTAAAAAGGTGGGACACTAACAGTATTTACTACCATCTACCTCTTGTAACACTCAAATATACTTTTTTTTCATATAAATTTACTTAATTCAGGCACAGCCTCTTGAGATTTATTAGTTAATCACAATTTCTTGGGAAATTTATAAGAAGAATTAGTAAAAAAAACAAAACACCTACAATTCTCATTTACCACTAGAACTGAGTAGAAGACTAGTACTTGTCATCTTCCTCATCTCACTCACCAAGGCAGCTTGTCTGTTAGGTTGATCCAGGCCCTTGACCCTGAGGGGTCTGGGTTCTGGTCACTTTCTCAAATTATAATTAGATGTGTGCATCAACAGATGCTTTCCAGGGCATGACCTGAGTGCCAAATATATTCCTTCTTGTCCCTATTATATAACATCACTCCTACTTTCTCATGATGATCAGGATCTATTATGCCTACTAGAGATTTCTTTTCTGTTTTCTTGCTAAACTGCCAAAAGGAACCCAAAGTGTTAAGATGGTATATACAGCATAAAGTTTAGTGGGACTCTTACTGAGAATTTTTGTGGGGGCCCTTTTGCCCTTTGAATGACAATATCTAGACCTACCCAGCATCAAGATGGAGAGACTGGAAGCAAAAATTCCCTAAGTAGGTTAGTGAAATTAATGCTTAGCAGGACCACTTATACTTCTACTCCTTGTTTCCTGAACCTATATATTTCTTATATATTTATTGAGTATATGGTATCACATAATGACCATTGGTTTAAAGTATATGCCACACCTTGAAGAATGCTGCCTCATCTTTGAGTTACTTCCAAGCTGTGCCACAGATGAGCCTTCAGGAGACCATTCCAACACTTTGTTGGAATGGTAGCTTCTGAATATTGCATTTAGGGTCAGTGGATTTCATGATAATGTGCCTATTTCTATACTTTTTTTGACATAAAATAAGTCCTTCAGTTTAAGGCAGTGTTTTGAAAACTCCCATGTCAATTGCTCACAGATACCGAGTCCTTGGAGGGTGCTGGCTTTGTTACTCTAGACAGGAAGAAAAACAATTAAATACATGTCAGTCAAAGTCATGATTGATCATTGCCCTTGCTAGGATTGAAAGAGCCTAATGTAGGCAACTTGCCACTAGATTTTTGGTTGGTACCATATAGAGAATCCAGCATTGAATTCTTTATTGGCAAGTTGAACATTTATGGGCAGCAGTGGCTAGATCAGCTTTCATGACAAGAAACCTTTTCTCTTGAGTCCATTTGTAGTTTTCACCTCTTTCACCATGCCTACTCCGTTCATATGTCCATTGAATGGGCACTGAGATGGTCAAGGAGAGAGGCTGGTTGACATCTACTGGCCAAATCACCGTGTAGCTCGGTTATTTCATGTCTCTTCTTCACTGGATGTCTTTTACAAACATTAATGTGTGGCACAAACATCCTAACATGTTTTGCTCTTAAACATAATTTTGGCCAATTATTGATTTTTTTGAATTGCCTTTTCCTGACCAGCAGGCTAAATCATTCACCCCTCATGGCCCTAACCAGGAGCTAAGTCATTCACTACTGCCCATGAGACTGTAAACTTGGGAAGCTTTTCTGTTCACTCAAAGTAGATAAACATATGTATAGCCCAAAGATTTGCCTTGGGAGGGGTATTCCCCCATCACTGCCATTTGGGGTTATTCTTCAATAGGGTCTATAGTGCAATAGTAATCTACTTTCTGCTTGTATCCTCACATCATGCCATTCATGAACCAAGCTCAGGTTTTTCCCTGCGTGTGGTTACCTCAGTAAATTATGCTAGGTCCTTTCCAGGAAGAAAAAGAAAACACTTTTGAATACAT